CTTTAAAAAAAAACTAAAAGGACAAAACACAAAATTACTAAAACTAACATGAAAATCAAATAAAAAAAGCACATTAAAAATATAAAATCAGATTTCATATATATATATATATATATATATATAAACACACACACATATGTAAACACAACAAAATTACTAAAACTTTAAATTGAAAACAGAAAATATAAAAATAAACACTATATTAATAAAATAGTTAAAACTCCATATATTAAGAAAAACTATATAGGCACATTTAAAAAAAAGACATATGCACAACAAAATTACTTTGACTTTAACTTAAACTTTAACAAAAAAAAAAATTGTAATATAAAAATATCACAATTCATCCATCCATCCACCCATCCATCCATCCATCCGTCCATCCATCCAATTCCATCCATCCATCCATCCATCCACCCACCCACCAATCCATCCATCCATCCATCCAGACACAACACTCAGGAATGGTTTCTACTCATTCTACTAACAGTTAACTGTTAACATGTTCCATGTCCTTTGCTTGCTGTCAGGCGGCCAAATATATGTTTTGTTTATGTTTGGATTATTTTATTAGTATTTCATTAATTGTCTGGTATGCTTTTTTATATAGTGCTGTAATACAATTTAGGTGTGTGTTATTTTATTAACCCATAATTGTGTCTGATGTGCTTCATGTATGGTTAATGTTTTTCCAGCATGCTTGCATATGCCTACTGAAGGTTGTGTGTTGTCGCTTTGTGTGCTTGCATGGCTAATTGTGTAAAAATATTGATTGTTGTTATTGTGTTAGTGTACTGATGTCTTACTGTTTTTTGTTTATTCTTCTTGATATTTTAAAGGGTTCTGAAACATCTGCGAAAGACATTAGTGTTTACATAGAAAATACATTTTTTACAAATCGTGTTTTTTATTATGTTATCATGCTTTTATTGTGTTTTATCGTGTTAGTTAGCTGTATTTCTTAGTTATTTTTTACCTAACTGAAACAACCCAACTGCAATTTGATTGAGATTAATTGGAATGCACAAAGAAAAAACATGATTTTTGAAAATGGTTAAAAACGGAGTTACCTGTTTTTGCAAATGAACTCTTCACATGTATCTCAGCACCCAGAGAGGCTTTGTGACGATGCGCACAGTAACGTTAGATCATATATTTTCAAACGGGGTCATGACCCCTAGTGCTGTAGATGCAGCATTAGGGGCCGCTCACACAGAACGCATGTTTGTGTTCGCAAGCGCTCAGGAATTGTTTAAAAAAAGCACAGCACAGAAAGCCTCGTCCGCCATGTTACCATCAAATAAAACTGTAACTACTGTAAACAACGCTTGCCCCGCCTCTGGGCTCTTCTGATTGGTCCACTGTTTTGGAACTGACAATGATGAGCCGCGCTGCCTATAACAGTTGAAATGTAACTTGACACAGTGTCTTAAAAACGCAGTACTTGTGTGTGACACGCCACAAAAGATGCAAGACGTGAGCCCAACGGTCTGTCTAGTGCGCTTAAATATAAATCAATGGAAAAGTAGTGCACTGGAAAGAAAAAACACATTGTGTGTGAACGGCCCCATGTTTCTCAGGTCTGCATATGGTAACACATGGAATAAATTTACATTGTGGGAGCATCATTTTGAAATGTTACTAAAAAGATAAAATGTCCAGTTTTCTTGCTGTGATTATAACGTTATTCAATCAAAACGGTTTCTTATAACTTTATTTTCACCCAAAATGTAGTGTTATTTGTAATATACGTTAAAATGTCCAGTTTTGTGGTGATTAGAATATTATCTAAAGGTTACAAAAACATTTTTAAAAAAACATAAAATATATAAAATATTAAAATAAAATTGAATTCAAATTATTAATAAAAACTGTAACTATCTCAGTGATGGCCATCAATGCTTTGTGCGTTAAAGAGCATTATTTAGATGCTGCGTGCTAAAACACACTCACACTATAACGTTTTCCTCTCATGTTCACACACGGATGCAACTTTATTGCATATTTCTGGAATTTTGCATATACGTTTTTTACCGTCTGAATGTATTACGCAGTAAAAATGATAAGAAATGATTCAAAGTGATGCTGCAGATTGTGTGAAGATTGCGTGACGCTCAGGCCATCAGTTCAAACGGAAAGAGGCTGTGTGTTTCTGATTCTCATCGTGATTCATCGTGTCCTGTCACTCATTCAAGGCCGGGTTTCTTTACACAACCCTTTCAGCCTGTGATATGAGTTCAGAGCCGCACTGGAGGATCATGGGATTGTGTACTGGGCTTACACTGGCACTTCTGACCAACAACGCCATCAGAACACAGATATACACTAACACAGCAGTCTGCTGTAGTTTCCATCAGAGCAAAAGAAAGTCTGAGTAACTGAATCGACGCACACACAGCAGCACAATGTTCAGTCTGGAAAGCCAGACGGAATCTCACATAATCGTATTTAAATATTTGTAAAATGATGAAATATTTGCACTGGGTGTCTACTATTAAACAAGTCATCATGCAATACGAATTTAATACAAGCCACAAGGAAAACATGAGCGAAGCGCAGGAGTATGTACATCAGCAGACTCAGACGACCTTAAAAACAGCATTCATCATCAATGAAAAATAAACTCCAACATAGAAACTAATGCAACTGGAAATAAAATTGATCTAAATTTAACCCATACTATGAAAAAAAAAATATATATATATATATATTTTAAATTTTTTTATTTATTTTTTACTAAAATTGAAAAGAAATTATAATAGAAAATAAAAAAATAACACAAACAATATAAAACAAAAAATATGGAAAAAATTATATATATATTTATTTATTTATTTATTTATTTATTTATTTATTTATTTATTTATTTATTTATTTATTTATTTATTTATTTATTTATTTATTTATTTATTTATTTATTTATTTATTTATTTATTTATTTATTTATTTATTTATTTATTTATTTATTTATTTATTTATTTATTTATTTATTTATTTATTTATTTATTTATTTATTTATTTATTTATTTATTTATTTATTTATTTATTTATTTATTTATTTATTTATTTATTTATTTATTTATTTATTTATTTATTTATTTATTTATTTATTTATTTATTTATTTATTTATTTATTTATTTATTTATTTATTTATTTATTTATTTATTTATTTATTTATTTATTTATTTATTTATTTATTTATTTATTTATTTATTTATTTATTTATTTATTTATTTATTTATTTATTTATTTATTTATTTATTTATTTATTTATTTATTTATTTATTTATTTATTTATTTATTTATTTATTTATTTATTTATTTATTTATTTATTTATTTATTTATTTATTTATTTATTTATTTATTTATTTATTTATTTATTTATTTATTTATTTATTTATTTATTTATTTATTTATTTATTTATTTATTTATTTATTTATTTATTTATTTATTTATTTATTTATTTATTTATTTATTTATTTATTTATTTATTTATTTATTTATTTATTTATTTATTTATTTATTTATTTATTTATTTATTTATTTATTTATTTATTTATTTATTTATTTATTTATTTATTTATTTATTTATTTATTTATTTATTTATTTATTTATTTATTTATTTATTTATTTATTTATTTATTTATTTATTTATTTATTTATTTATTTATTTATTTATTTATTTATTTATTTATTTATTTATTTATTTATTTATTTATTTATTTATTTATTTATTTATTTATTTATTTATTTATTTATTTATTTATTTATTTATTTATTTATTTATTTATTTATTTATTTATTTATTTATTTATTTATTTATTTATTTATTTATTTATTTATTTATTTATTTATTTATTTATTTATTTATTTATTTATTTATTTATTTATTTATTTATTTATTTATTTATTTATTTATTTATTTATTTATTTATTTATTTATTTATTTATTTATTTATTTATTTATTTATTTATTTATTTATTTATTTATTTATTTATTTATTTATTTATTTATTTATTTATTTATTTATTTATTTATTTATTTATTTATTTATTTATTTATTTATTTATTTATTTATTTATTTATTTATTTATTTATTTATTTATTTATTTATTTATTTATTTATTTATTTATTTATTTATTTATTTATTTATTTATTTATTTATTTATTTATTTATTTATTTATTTATTTATTTATTTATTTATTTATTTATTTATTTATTTATTTATTTATTTATTTATTTATTTATTTATTTATTTATTTATTTATTTATTTATTTATTTATTTATTTATTTATTTATTTATTTATTTATTTATTTATTTATTTATTTATTTATTTATTTATTTATTTATTTATTTATTTATTTATTTATTTATTTATTTATTTATTTATTTATTTATTTATTTATTTATTTATTTATTTATTTATTTATTTATTTATTTATTTATTTTTTTATATATATATATATATCGCTCTCCATATATTTCATTCCAATAAAATAAATTAACATATGGCACATTTGAAGAAAAACTTTTTATTTGTGTCTATAACATGATGTTTTTTCTTGATTTAAAATATAAATTTTTGCCATTTGGGAAATGCATTTGTTTATAGTCTCTACATAACACCACGACTTCCATTTGTGTTCCTTTATTGCTAATATTTTCCATACTAATAACAAAGAAACTTCAGGCTGGCGTTGCAGATGAAAGAGACCTGAAGTCACTGAGAATCTGAGTCACTGAGATTTTTTGGGGGTCTTGGTTTTGATGACTGTACCTCTAAAGCCACAGTGTCACAACATGTTATTAATGCGCTCTTTCCACTCGATCTGCTGCCTCATAGTGGACACGCGCGTCTGCTGTACAACCTCAAAACAGAGGCGAAAAAACATCATTATGAGGTCACTTCCATTACGTCATGCGCCTGTAATGTTAATCGGCGCGCGCTGTGATTGGTGCGCGGCTGCAGCGCTCGCCAGTGACGCGTCCGATGGCGCACTATATGTGCTTCGCGTCCGGAGCGCGCTGACAGCAGTGTTTAGTCTGCGTTCCCTTCAGAATGAAGCCTTGTTTTGTGCTCGGGTTCCTGCTGTTCTCTCTCGTCTGTCTGATGTACCAAGCGTCAGACGCGTGTTCGTGCGCGATGTCTCATCCACAGGACGCGTACTGCCACTCCGACATCGGTAAGAAACGCGCGCGCGTGTGTGTGTGTGTGTGTGTGTGTTTCTGAAGGGTTAAATGAAGGCAGGTGGAGCGAGATGATGTGACAAAATTACTAAAACTTGAACTAAACTTTAAAAAGAAAATATAAAAGTAACACGATGAAACAAAAACACAAACTATTAAAATAAAATGTAATTCAAAATATTAATAAAAACTATAACTGTCTCAGTAATGGGCATCAATGCTTTGTGCATTGAAGGGCATCATTTAGATGCTGACGAGTTCAGGACCACCGCAGTAATACATCCTAAACTATTCTCTGTGAGTCATTAGCCCAGTAAAACAAGACTTCAGTAAAAGAATTAAGATCCGTTCACACTAAGAACGAAAAATATGATGGTAATGATAGCTATATTTGCATCCACACCAACAAAGGATAAGGTTCTGTCTATTATAAGCGCACTGCAGTTACATACTTTACATAATTGCAGTACGCACTTCCAATGATAGCGTTTATTCAGAGAACCATAATACGATAACTATATTTGCATCCACTCCAATGAACGATAATGTTTTGCTTATTATAAGCGCACACTAGTTATGTACTCTAAATAATTGCAGTACGCACTTCCAATGATAGCGTTTATTCCGAGAACAATAACTATTACGATACTGTTTCTGTGCCTCTGTCTAAACAAGTGACCAGCTTGCTTCAGATCTCTCTTTATGCTATTTGTGACCCTGGACCACAAAACTGGTCAATTTTTTCAAATTGAGATGTATGCATCATCATCTGAATAAATAATCTTTCCATTGATGTATGGTTTGTTAGGATCGGACAATATTTGAAAATCTGGAATCTGAGGGTGCAAAAAAAATCTAAATATTGAGAAAATCATCTTTAAAGTTGTTCAAATGAAGTTCTTAGCAATGCATATTACTAATCAAAAATTAAGTTTTGATATATTTACGGTAGGACATTTACAAAATATCTTCATGGAACATGATCTTTACTTAATATCCTAATGATTTTTGGCATAAAAGAGAAATGTATAATTTTGACCCATACAGTGTATTGTTGGCTATTGCTACAAATATCCCCCAGACACTTAACACTGCTTCTGTGCTGCAGGGCCACATATTATTATATAAGTCTTTGACTCAATCGTTCTGTCAGCTTGTATTCTTTCAGTCAGCACAGGTTTTGTGTTTGTTTCTGGAGCTGATTGATCGTAGGCCTCGTTGATCTGAGCTCACGCTCCTCAGTTTTTGAGTTAAAAAAAGCACTATTTCTGGATAAATTTAGCCTATAATCAGTTTCTGAGTGAAAAAAAAACAACAACATTATTTGTGGATTATTTTCATAATATTTGTGGATAATTTTGATAAAATATTCAGTTTTTGAGTAAAAAAAAATAGCATTATTTGTGGATAATTTTGGCAAAACGTTGAAATTTTGAGTGAAAAAAAAACATTGGAAGAAAAACATTTGTGAATAATTTTGTTAAAATATTCCGCTTTTGAGGGGAAATTTTTTTTTTTGTTAATAATTTTGGCAAAATATTCCGTTTGAGTAAAAAAAATAGCATTATTTGTGGATGTTTTGGCAAAACATTGAAATTTTGAGTGAAAAAAAAACATTATTTGAAGAAAAACAATATTTATGCATCATTTTGGCAAAATAGTAATTTTTGAGTGAAGCAAGCATTATTTGTAGATAATTTTGGCAAAATATTTAGGTTTTGAGTGGAAAACAAAAAACATTATTAGTGGATTATTGTGACAATATTCACTCAAAAACTCAAATATACAAAATAAATATAAAACCTGTGCTGATAGAAAGAAAACAAATTGACAAAATAATTCAGTCGAAGACTTATATAATAATAAGTGTCCCTGCAGCACAAAAGCAGTGTTGAGTCGCTGGGGGATATTTGTAGCAATAGCCAACAATACATTGTATGGGTCACAATTATACATTTCTCTTTTATGCCAAAAATCATTAGGATATTAAGTAAAGATCATGTTCCATGAAGATATTTAGTAAATGTCCTACCGTAAATATATCAAAACTTAATGTTTGATTAGTAATATGCATTGCTAAGAACTTCATTTGAACAACTTTAAAGATGATTTTCTCAATATTTAGATTTTTTTGCACCCTCAGATTCCAGATTTTCAAATATTGTCCTCTCCTAACAAACCATACATCAATGGAAAGCTCATTAATTCTCAATAATCTCACGTTCTGACTGGTTTTGTGCTCCAGGGTCACACATAGCACAACGAGAGATGTATAAGTAATTCTATGTAGGCTGGTCATTTTTGGTGTAGTGTAACAAGATGGGAAATAAATCCCCAAAAAGTACAAAAAGGAATCTAGAAATGTTTTGTGAAGTTGTGAGCAGCCAGCAGTATCTCCAGCAGAGTTTCTCTGAGCAGAATGAGATCTAATCGATGCGTGTCTCGCTGCAGAGGAGGAGATTTCTCCTCAGACCGGCACCTACTTTCTGAAACGCAAGCCAATCTCGGTGCGCTTGATGAATATGCATGAGTCACTCTGGGCTTTCATCTATGATTCACGGGGCTTATGCGGGGTTAGGCTCTTAAATATAGCCGCGAGGTACAGTAACTCGGGCGTTTGGAACTGGGTTACATAGTTAAGAGCGGCTCGCAGCCAATCAGAGCGCAGCTCCACACACACTCACACTGGAGTTCAATCACACGACCTTTGAACCCCAGCGCCGACCTCGGGGTCGAACCCGTCAGCAACCGCTGGAGCGCTACACTGAGACGTCTGTCGTGTTTTTATTTACGGTGAACACCGTTTGGTCCGATGCATCATCACCTAACAATGAGCAACACATCTGCTACAGTATCTATTCATCTTTGTTGACGTTAGTTCATAAAAACACAACTGTTAGTTCATGTTCGCTCAGGGCCGTTAAATAATATTAACAGATAAAAGCTTTGATTTTAATAGATTATTAAATAATCTATTATAAATAATAATAATAGTATTTTCATTGTTATTATTATAGTTTTAATATTTTAGTTTTTTTAAAATAATTTTTATTGCTTGTTTTATTTTATTTTTTCAATGCTTTAGTAGCTTTAGATTAATATTTTGGATAAAGTTTTATTTCTATTAATATTTTTCTTTATTATTTTTTAACGCTTTAGAAGCTTTAGATTAATATTTTGGATAAAGTTTTATTATTTCTATTAATATTTTTCTTTATTATTTTTTAACGCTTTAGTAGCTTTAGATTAATATTTTGGATTAGTTTTTATTATTTCTATTAATATTTACATTTTTTATGATTTTTAATGCTTTAGTGGCTAAAGAAATTGTTAGATTAATATTTTGGATTAGTTTTTATCATTTCTATTACTATTTTTCTTTATTATTTTTATTAACGCTTTAGATTAATATTTTGGATAAAGTTTTATTATTTCTATTAATATTTTTCTTTATTATTTTTTAACGCTTTAGTAGCTTTAGATTAATATTTTGGATTAGTTTTTATCATTTCTATTACTATTTTTCTTTATTATTTTTATTAACGCTTTAGATTAATATTTTGGATAAAGTTTTATTATTTCTATTAATATTTTTCTTTATTATTTTTTAACGCTTTAGTAGCTTTAGATTAATATTTTGGATTAGTTTTTATCATTTCTATTACTATTTTTCTTTATTATTTTTATTAACGCTTTAGATTAATATTTTGGATAAAGTTTTATTATTTCTATTAATATTTTTCTTTATTATTTTTTATTGCTTTAGAAGCTTTAGATTAATATTTTGGATAAGGTTTTATCATTTCTAATAATATTTTTCTTTATTATTTTTTAATGCTTTAGAAGCTTTAGATTAATATTTTGGATAAGGTTTTATCATTTCTAATAATATTTTTCTTTATTATTTTTTAATGCTTTAGAAGCTTTAGATTAATATTTTGGATAAGGTTTTATCATTTCTAATAATATTTTAATTTTTTATGATTTTTAATGCTTTAGTGGCTAGAGAAATTGTTAGATTAATATTTTGGATTAGTTTTTATCATTTCTATTAATATTTTTATTTGTTATTATTTTTAATGCTTTAGCAGCTTTAGAATAATATTTTGGATCAGTCTTTTATTTTCATTTATTTTATTTTTATTTTCAAGTTTAGTTAATTTTTTTTTATTTTTATATCTGTATAATTTATATTCATCACTATTTCGGTTTTAGTTATTTTATTACATAAAATGACAAAACTACGAGATAATGAGAAGTGTCTCCTTCGCAACTAGTTGAAATAAAACAAGTCTACATTTTTTTGTATTTTAATTTGAATTTATTTAATTTTTAATGAAATATTATTTGATTACTGTTGCAAATAAAAAATGCTTTTAGTGCAGAAGAATAACTGGTATGAGAGCGACTGGGTGCTGCTTCTTGTGTTTGGATCTGATGTGTGTGAAAGCGCAGCATTAGCTGAATAAATAAATGCGAGTGAATGTCAGGAAAGAAAGAAAGAAAGCAGGAGTGTGAGCCTCACAGAACTCCGGCAGAGGAAGATACGCAGCAGGTGATGTTCGGCTGGATCGGGTTACTGATGGGAAGCGCTGCAAGGGATTATGGGACATGGCCTCGTTCTGCTGCGTCTCTGAGGAAGCAAACTAGTTCCTCAAGATACGAGCTTCTGTCTAACCATCAGCAGCACACAGAGAGAAACTCACACACACTCGCAGTGGGGAAATACTGCTACACTGAGTGTATATATACACTATATATACTTCTATACACTATATATACTTCTATACACTATATATACTTCTATACACTATATATACTTATGTACACTATATATACTTCTATACACTATATATACTTCTATACACTATATATACTTCATACACTATATATACTTCTATACACTATATATACTTATGTACACTATATATACTTCTATACACTATACTTCTATACACTATATATACACTATATATACTTCTATACACTATATATACACTATATATACTTCTATACACTATATATACTTCTATACACTATATATACTTCTATACACTATATATACTTATGTACACTATATATACTTCTATACACTATATATACTTCTATACACTATATATACTTCATACACTATATATACTTATGTACACTATATATACTTCTATACACTATATATACTTCTATACACTATATATACTTCTATACACTATATATACTTCTATACACTATATATACTTCTATACACTAGTCAACATTTGAAGAGGATCAAGACCTAAAACACGTTCTTGTCTTGGTACAACTTTGATTAACTGTTTTGATCCACTTCACATGGTGACTACTGTACATACTTATTTTCTTATATATTAAAAACTTATTTTATTTCAGCTAGTCATAATTTCTAACCATAACTATCATTTATTTTAAATTCGATCTGGAGCACTAAAATAGCTCAAACTAAAACACAAAAATAAGAACTATAGAGACTTTTTTAAATTTTTATATATATGTAAAAATATTAATAATATAGATATTTGATATTTTATTCAAAATAAAATAAACAAATGACATCAATTTATTAAATAAAGTGTATATATTTCATGTCAGAAAATACATTTAAAATATATGGGGGAAAAATATAATATAGAATTTGATCATACATTGTGTTTTTATTTGAAATATTTTTTTTGATGATTAAATTATATTATAAATATTTTTAATTCCTATATATATATATTTAAATTCAGAAAATACAGTAAAATATAAGAAAAATATAAAATTTAAAAATATATTAAAAATGAAAACAAACTTAATTATACTGTAACGGGGCTGACGAGACGTGAGACGTGTGGATCCATCTGCAGGCTTTATTTAAGAGACGGGGTAAACAGGCAGGGTCAAAACACTGGCAAACAGGTATATGGTGGGCAAAACACAAGAATAGTCCCAGGGCTAGCGTAGGTCACCAATCAGCAGACAGAATCACAGGGGCGAGACGAGAGGGAGAAATCCAGGAAAACAGGCAAAGATCAGATACCGCAGAAACAGGCAAGGCAAGGAAAACTCGGAAAGGGGTACGGGCTAAACAATACTCAGCAGAGAATGGTGGTTTGAGTGGGTGTTATATAGTGAGTGAGGTGATAGGAAACAGCTGTGTGCAATGAGTGCAATCAGTGCAGTGTGCAAACCGTGCAATGAATGATGGGATATGTAGTCCGGGGTGCTATGCAATAGTTTGTGTTGTGCGAGAGTCAATGTAATGGAAAGGGTGACCTCTGGTGGTGAATAAACGGAAGTCCATGGACCGAATTCATGACATATACATTGTTTTTATTTAAAAATCAATTATATTATATATTAGTGCCGTCAAAACGATTAATCGCATTCAAAATAATTTTTTGTTTACATAATATATGTGTCTGTGCTGTGTATATTTATGTATATATAAATACACACACATGCATGTATATATTTCAGAAGAATATGTTATGTTTATATATTAAATATATATTTTTTAATATATAAATTATATGAATATATATATATGCATTTTCAAAATATATGCATGCATATGTGTGTATTTATATATGCATAATAAATATACACCGCACACACACATATATATTATGTAAACAAAAACTTTTATTTTGGATGCGACAGCACTAATTATATTATATTATAAATTCCTTTTGTAGTTTTTAGTCATTGCCACTATGGCCACACAGTCATAATTTGATTTGAGTTGTTTTTAATCAATAAAAAGCTAATTTGTTATGCATTTCTCCAGTTCTGAGCAGCTTGGAGGTTTAATTCCACTTGCTGCAATGCATTCTGGGATTGCTTTATCAGTGCAGCCTGTGTGTTGTGCTCTTCACGGACCGGCGGGTCTCTGTGTGTGTGTTTGCAGTGATCCGAGTTAAAATAGTGGGAAAGAACCTGCTGAACGACGGTCCGTTTGGCACCCTGCGCTACACCGTCAAACAGATGAAGGTCAGTGCATCATCACGTGTTAATGAGACTCAACACGCATCCCATGATTCCTCAGTGTGTGTGTGTGTGTGTGTGTGTGTGTGTGTGTGTGTTGTCTGCTGCAGATGTACAAGGGCTTCGACAAGATCCAGCACGTTCAGCACATCTACACACACGACTCCGAGAGCATGTGTGGAGTCAAGTTCGACATCAACAAATACCAGTATCTGATCACAGGTGAGAGCCAGACCTTCATCATCATCATCAGCATCATCAGCATCGAGCTTCACACGAGACCACTGACAGCAGTGCATCATGGGACAAACAGCCTGTCACACACTGCTGCTCATTAACAGCCCGTTAACATTTGACCAACATTACAGACGTCAACCGCACCCAGATATTACTCAAGACACATCAGAAATGCTTTTCATTATCTCAATGAGTTTCATCATTATCTATTTATTATTCCATGCATATTATATATTTATATATAGTGGCTAGTATAAATATATAATAATAAATAGATGATGATGCATACTATATACTGTATGTGTGTGTGTGTGTGTGTGTATATATATATATATATATATATATACACACACACACTTTTATTAGCTATAAAATAGCTGAATCATATAAAATTCCAAGATTTATGTGTACAGATAATATAAATTAATGAAGTCCGTATTATATAACTATAAAAAAGCATATGAAACTATATAACATATATTACATTATATATATACATTTATATAATAAAAATGATATAATTTATATTTAATATAATATACATTTATAAATATAGATATTTCATATTTATTAATATATTAAAATATATTTTATATAAAATATATATACATTTTTATATAATGTGTGTATATTTAAATTCAGAAAATACAGTTCATTAAAAAAGGAATATATATTAAAAAAATACATAATAATAAAAAAAAATTTTTTTTATCCATTGTTTTTTTATATTTCTATATAATATATATATATATAGCTTCTATTGTCCTCATTTGTAAGTCGCTTTGGATAAAAGTGTCTGCTAAATGACTATACTATACATATATATTAACATTTTTCACGTTTTCTTCTATATTATAAATATTTGAATGATTTTATTATATGATCTTTTGAATTGTTTGTTGGTTATAGTCACAGTGGCTGAATTGTGGCTCATGAATGGGTCTGAGTCCAGAAACGGACTGAAGCGTGATGTCAGAGTTTTATCCGTGACGGAGGTCATGTGAAGCGTGTGACACGCACCTGTTCTGCTGGAGCTCATCAGACACAGACGGTTAAATATAGAGCGCTGCGGCTAACGTGAACCGCGCGACCTACAGACATACTGATGAAAGAACGGCTTGATTAGCACTAAACCAGCCATAACTGAGATTTATACAGAAGCCTTCCATTGATGTATGGTTTGTTAGGATCGGACAATATTAGAAAATCTGGAATCTGAGGGTGCAAAAAAATCTAAATATTGAGAAAATCATCTTTAAAGTTGTTCAGATGAAGTTCTTAGCAATGCATATTACTAATCAAACATTAAGTTTTAGGTACGGAATTTACTAAATATCTTCAAGGAACATGATCTTTATTTAATATCCTAATGATTTTTGGCATAAAAGAGAAATGTATAATTGTGACCCATACAATGTATTGTTGGCTATTGCTACAAATATCCCCCAGCGACTCAACACTGCTTTCGTGCTGCAGGGTCAGAGTTGTTGTGTGTGATGTGTGCAGGTCGTGTTCACGACGGGAAGCTGTACACGGGGCTGTGTAACTTTAACGAGCGATGGGAGCGTCTGTCTCTGGAGCAGAAGAAGGGCATCAACCACCGCTATCAGCTGGGCTGTAACTGCAGGGTGAGTGCTGAGGGATCATGGGTAACTGCATATCCAGCGTCCGCCGTCATTAGCGTTAGATCAGTGAACACGAGTTAAAGTCTGTTTGTATTATATCAGAAATCCTGAAGAAAACTAATTTACTGGAAAAAGAATGATTGTATTATATTGTTAGTTCAATACGTAGACATGCTTTTTGATTATTACAATTTATTTTGACCATTAAAATGGAATCCAGAATATTTAAAATGTAGAATACATAGAAAAAAAACATTGGAAAAATTTTAGAATTTTAGGAAAAATAAAATGCATTTCATAAGGCCCTAAAAATGCAATTCTTGTAAAAAAAAAAAATTTTTTTTAATATATACATTTTTGTTAAATTGTGTACGTTTCATAATTTCAATTAATTATAAATGCTTTTTATTAGTAAAAAAAAAAGTATATTAAAATTAACCATTAAAGCAAAATCCCCCAAATTTTTAATTTTGGGGAAAAATAAACAGAATTTGAGGGAAAATAAAATGCATGTCATAATCCGTTTTATTTTTAATGAGCCATAAAAATGTATTTTTGTCAAATATTTAAGAAATCGTTAAACTAAAAACTAAAAAGTCTAAAAATATATTTTGATTATTAAAATGTAATTTAACCATTGATAATGGACTCCAGAAAATAGAATTTGGGAAAAAATTAAATGGATTTCATAGGACCCTAAAAATATACTTTTTGTAAAAATACATTTTGATGATAAATTGTGTATTGAATGATTTCAATTAATTAGACGTGCTTTTTGACGATTAAGATTTAAGTTAACCATTAAAACGAAGTCAAGACATTTTTTTATATTTAAAAAAAAAATGGAATACAAAAAAATTCAAATGGAAAAATAGAATTTCATAGGGCCCTAAAAAAACGTTTTTTAATAAACTTTTATTAACTTGTGCATGTTTCATGATTTAAATGAATTAGACATGCTTTCTGATTACTAACATTTAATTTAACCATTAAAACCGAATTTTTGGGAAATAAAACTGATTTTATAGATGACACGCAACATGCATGCAGACGTTAATTTAGCGATCAAATATCACACGGAACCGATATATATCGTCTGCGATGTTATATTATTTGTTAGAGTTTTATGAGTTCAATAAGTAGACATGCTTTTTGATTAACACACGCCGCAAAATATTATCGTTATCGGTAAAATCCCAGAAAATATAGAGGTATTCTTTACATCCGTCCTGTGTTCGCAGATCAAGCCGTGCCACTATCTGCCCTGCTTCGTCACGTCCAAGAACGAGTGCTTATGGACGGACATGCTGTCGCACTTCAGCTTCCCCGGCTATCAGTCGCGTCACTACGCCTGCATCCAGCAGAAGGAGGGCTACTGCAGCTGGTACCGAGGCGTGAGCGCTCGCGACAAGCTCATTATCAACACCACCGACCCCTGAGAACCGGCCTGAAACCACTACACCACCAGCCCAACCTTTCTGAACCGGAAGATTTTTCATGCTTCTTAAAGAACTCTCTTCTGCTCACCAAGCCTGCATTTATTTGATCCAAAATAGACGGCTGTTATATATTTTAAAATGTAATTTATAAAGCGGAGCGTTCCGGTGCTTGACTCTGATTGGCTGAGCCGCGTTCGAAGCTGTTGTAAATGACGCTACAAAGTAACACACACCTTTGTTTACGTCTGTGTGTTGCTCGGCAACCACTTTGTAGCAACCACAACTGTTTCTGAGGAGCTACATTGTTTGGTGGAAGAATACTGTGTTTATTAATATCACTACACTTTATTTGCTCTGTTTTATTTTGTGAAACCTTACTACGTATATAACCGTTTTATAAAAGCAGTAATCCCCGTGAAGCCGTGGTTTACAGTGAATTTATAACAGCGCCGCGCCATCCCTAACAACGCCCCTTAGCTGTAATAAATCCACTGTAAACCACGGCTTCACGGGGGTTACTGCTTTATTATTCCTGTGATTTCAAAGCTGAATTTTCAGCACCAGTCACATGATCTTCAGAAATCGTTCTAATATGCTGATTTGCTGCTCAGGAAACATTTATTATTATTATTATTATTATTATGTTGGAAACAGCAGATTAGAATTTATTTCATTCAGTTTTTTTTTTGATGAATAGAAAGTTCAGAAGAACAGCATTTATCTGAAATGGAGATCTTTTGTAACATGTCTTTATCATCACTTCTGATCAATTTGAAGCGTCCTTGCTAAATAAAATTATTAATTTCTATAATCCCCCCCCCCTGTGTATAATGGAATAGCGTATAATTATTTCAGATAAATGCTAATATTTGGATCTTTCTATTCATCAAAGAATCCTGAAAAAATGCACTCAACTGTTTTAAATATTGATGATAATAATAATAATCAGAAATGTTTCTCGAGCAGCAGATCAGCATATTATACTGATTTCTGAAGATCATGTGACACTGAAGACTGGAGGAATGATGCTGAAAATACAGCTGCGCATCACAGAAATAAATTACAGTCTAACAGAGACTCACATAGAAAACAGCTGCTTTAATAGTACAAATATTTTACAATATTACTGCTTTCGAAGTATTTTGAAGCAGATAAATGCACTGGCTTGGTGAGCAGAAGAGGCTTCTTTAAAAAGCTTCTGACTGGTCGTGTACATCATCGAGCACACGGAGCCGTCCGCATTAACCAGATTAAATATGAAGTCATTTATGAACGCAATAAACCCTGCTCTTTTATAGTGATGTGCTGCTTTTTAAACATGATTTCATCAATATGATACCTGCTATTGTATATGTGCGTGTGCCAGATTTATACTGTTCAGTATCTATTTATGATCGCGCCGAATCGCTCAGAAAGTGTTATTTTCCTTCTTGCTGTTTATGATATGAGCTATGAAATTGTGATTTAGTATTTTTGTATTACTTTAAAGCAAAGATTATAAACGGTAGATCGGTCACGTCTTTTCTACATCTGTGTCTAAAATGCGTTTCTAGTGGGAAAGTCCGATTGGGAGGTACGGATGTGAATCAGATCAGTGTTTTCTGCCACTAGACTCCTGTTGATTTCTGCTCCATTCCTGCGCTGGAGCCTCGGCCCCCGGCTCCTGTTTTTACAACATGTTCATATTCTGTCTGTAACACAAACATCCCGTCTGACTCTCACCGAAGAGACTGAACGCTCGCGTGTGTGTGTGTGTGTGTGTGTGTGCGTGTGTGTGTGTGTGTGTGTGCATGTGTGTGTGAGTGTGCGTGTGTGTGTGTGTGTGTGTGCGTGTGTGTGTGAGTGTGTGTGTGTGAGTGTGTGTGTGTGTGTGCGTGTGTGTGTGAGTGTGTGTGTGTGAGTGTGTGTGTGTGTGTGCGTGTGTGTGTGAGTGTGTGTGTGTGAGTGTGTGTGTGTGTGTGCGTGTGTGTGTGAGTGTGTGTGTGTGAGTGTGTGTGTGTGTGTGCGTGTGTGTGTGAGTGTGTGTGTGTGAGTGTGTGTGTGTGTGTGCGTGTGTGTGTGAGTGTGTGTGTGTGAGTGTGTGTGTGTGTGTGCGTGTGTGTGTGAGTGTGTGTGTGTGAGTGTGTGTGTGTGTGTGCGTGTGTGTGTGTGTGTGTGTGCATGTGCATGTGTGTGTGTGTGTGTGTGTGTGTGTGAGACAGATGACCATTTTTCAATTGATTCGATTCAATTTTTAATTTCTTTGTTTTATATTTTTATAATAAACGTTGTGAAAACGGCTCTGTGGCTCTCTTGTCATTATTATTCTGGGAAAAATGAACATGAATGCGCTCATCCGAGTTTGTTTCTTCGTCAGTTTTGGAGAAATGCATCAGTGTCTCAGCAATGGATGCTCTACAGTGAATGGGTGCCGTCAGAACGAGAGCTGATAAAAACATCACAATAATCCACAGCACTCCAGTCCATCAGTTAACATCTGGAGAAGACAAAAGCTGAAACTAATCCAGCATTAAGACGATTTTAACTAAAATACCATAGAGTCCATAATCCATAAATCCGTCTCCTGTTGTCTCTCGCATCAAAATCCAGCCACATATTTGTTTAGAGCTGTTTTGGACTGTAAACAGTGCTTAATTGCAATTAATTAGACATGCTGTTTGATTATTAAGATTTAATTTAACCTTTAATAATGGACTCCCGGAAATAGAATTTTGGAAAAAATTAAATACAATGGATTTCATAGGGCCCTAAAAACATAATCTTTGTATTTTTTATTTTTTTTAAATTGTGTAAGTTTGAATGATTTCAATTAATGAGACGTGCTTCTTGATTATTGTGATTTAGTTTAACCATTAAAACAAATTCAAGGAAAAAAATTAAATACAGGAAAATTCAAATAGAAAAAAAATGGAATTTGGGAAAACATTTAATGGATTTCATAGCGCCCTAAAAATACACGTTTTGATAAACTGTTAATAAATTGTGCAAGTTTCATGATTTAAATGAATTATGCATGCTTTCTGATTCCTAAAATTCAACCATTAAAACGGAGTTTTGGAAAATTAAAATGACAAAAACATGACTTTGTAAAATATAATAAAGCAATAAGCCCCAAGAAGCCGTGGTTTACAGTGGATTTATAACAGCTAAGGGGCGTTGTTAGGCACGACGCGGCGCTGTTATAAATTCACTGTAAACCACGGCTTCACGGGGGTTACTGCTTTTATAAAACGGTTATTCCATATACGTAGTAAGGTTTCACAAAATAAAACAGAGCAAATAAAGTGTAATGATATTAATAAACACAGTGTTCTTCCACCAAACAATGTAGCTCCTCAGAAACAGTTGTGGTTGCTACAAAGTGGTTGCCGAGCAACACACAGACGTAAACAAAGGTGTGTGTTACTTTGTAGCGTCATTCACAACAGCTTCGAACGCGGCTCAGCCAATCAGAATCAAGCACCGGAACTCTCCGCTCTATAAAACTGATTTTTTTAGGGGACGACACACATGTAGACATTCATTCAGCAATCAAAAATCAAACATCTTCAGTCTTTCAAAAGAAAAGCCCTGCATATTTGGGCACATAACAAGTGCGTCTGTATTAATAGACTTGTGCAGATTTCTCTCCTGATTCAGAACACTTTTTCACTGGAGGAAGCGTTGTGGATTATGGACTCTATGGTATTTTAGTTAAAAGCGTCTTAATGCTGGATTTGTCTCAGCTTTTGTCTTCTCCAGATGTTAACTGATGGACTGGAGTGCTGTGGATTATTGTGATGTTTTTATCAGCTGTTTGGACTCTCATTCTGACGGCACCCATTCACTGCAGAGCATCCATTGCTGAGACACTGATGCATTTCTCCAAAACTGACGAAGAAACAAACTCGGATGAGCGCATTCATGTTCATTTTTCCCAGAATAATAATGACAAGAGAGCCACAGAGCCGTTTTCACAACGTTTATTATAAAAATATAAAACAAAGAAATTAAAAATTGAATCGAATCAATTGAAAAATGGTCATGGCTTCACGGGGGTTACTGCTTTTATAAAACGGTTATTGCATATGCGTAGTAAGGTTTCACCAAAATAAAACAGAGCAAATAAAGTGTAAAGATATTAATAAACACAGTATTCTTCCACCAAACAATGTAGCTCCTCAGAAACAGTTGTGGTTGCTACAAAGTGGTTGCCGAGCAACACACAGACGTAAACAAAGGTGTGTGTTACTTTGTAGCGTCATTCACAACAGCTTCGAACGCGGCTCAGCCAATCAGAATCAAGCACCGGAACTCTCCGCTCTATAAAACTGATTTTTTTAGGGGACGACACACATGTAGACATTCATTCAGCAATCAAAAATCAAACATCTTCAGTCTTTCAAAAGAAAAGCCCTGCATATTTGGGCACATAACAAGTGCGTCTGTATTAATAGACTTGTGCAGATTTCTCTCCTGATTCAGAACACTTTTTCACTGGAGGAAGCGTTGTGGATTATGGACTCTATGGTATTTTAGTTAAAAGCGTCTTAATGCTGGATTTGTCTCAGCTTTTGTCTTCTCCAGATGTTAACTGATGGACTGGAGTGCTGTGGATTATTGTGATGTTTCTATCAGCTCTCGTTCTGACGGCACCCATTCACTTGCAGTGAGACACTGATGCAATGCTACATTTCTCCAAATCTGACGAAGAAACAAACTCATCCTGTTCTCGGCTGGCCTGAGGTTTAGTAACCTGTTCAGTGACCAGGTCAGCGCAGAGACTCACCATCTGCGTGTGGTTGGGGAAGAAGGTTTGCTCGTTGAGCGGGAACTTGTCTGGACCCAGAGTCTGGTAGAGCTTGATCATGTGAGAGAACTGCAGAATCCAGACACACAAACACATGAATGATTCATTATTATAAAGAACACAGCGTTTTGTCTTCGTCCTCTTCCATCAAAACTCACTCAACCTCAAAAATGAGTTTACTTGAAGGCCATATAACGCATTAAAGAAGTACTGTAACGCGATATCATGTGAGTTCAGTCCCAAACACACTGATAACGCAGTATGTTTAGTCTTAGTTTAGTCTGAGTTTGCACTGAAACAACCCACAGAGTGAATCACAAAATCATG